TCCAATATAAAAAAAAAAATCGGTTCTTATTCGGTTCTTCGGTTCTGGGTCGAGAACCGAGAACCGAACCAAACCATTCGGTTCTCGATTCGGATACCCGTTCGGGTATTTCATTTTAAAAAATCCGTTCGATTCGATTCGGTTCGAACATTTTGCCCAACCCTATAAGCTATAGGTGCGTGAGCTGGCTCGGCTTGCCCCACCAGAGGATGAGCTTGTGGGGCCAGTCAAGCACAACTTTCTTGAGTGAGTTGACTCGCAAACAACTAGTTCCATTTAACACCCCCTATTCTTAAGGGGCTCTTCAGATGTTTGGGCATTAGACCTCAGCCCATGTACCAAGGCCCACTGACTTTGGCAACCTCAGAACTAACAGAGTCCTTGGTGTTTGATCGTCACGCAAACAGTTTGGGTTGGTTTGTTCTCGACCTCCATGACGTATTGACGTTGGCCTAGGCCTTAAGCGCACAAGCTAAGCTTCGAAATCTGTTCAGCTGGTTAGCCTAGTTCTAGGTCAGACTCGTGGGCTTTGGCCTAGCCTAGGTGTTTTAGTCGCTAGGCATGTTGACCCATGTGTTTGTTACTCCAACTAAGACTGTTGTGGAAGGCCTGGTTTTGTCCAGGTGTACTGAGTTTTGCTTAGCTTGGGCGGTGATGACTAGGACTCTCCTTGAGGTGATGGTGTAACGATGCAAAATTCTTGTGCTCAACTTTATTTTTACAACACTGTTACAGGTATACCTTTGTTGGCTAAAAGTTTGATAAATGATGAAGTGACGTGCAGTTTGGCTCGCTTCATCATTTGTCAACCAACGTGTAAACAATAGGTGTACATGCAGCTTAATTATTACTTTTATATGTCTCGTTTTGATTTTAGTTTATTCATTAATGGCAACTTGTAAAAATATTATTTGCATTACCGCAAATTATGGTTCCTCTGCAATTTTTGAATTTCTTTTCTTTATTAATATTTCAAGAAAGTCTACATTCATTTGTCTATCGTTCAAGACAAGCCATGTCATGCCAGCCAAGGTTTGAGAGTATTCTTTGGTCACACGTTTAGATCTTCTATTCCAATTTAACATTAAAAATTAGAAATACATTTCAAGAATACTCTGTCCTCATTTGTATACACCAAAGTATATTCGACTACGAGACGAGACTTTACAAGTTATATATAGACTCTTGCAAACATGTTAAAAGATTCATCTAACAAATTAAGGAAGAGATGCCGGCCTGAACCTATAATCATCTAGGAATGTTGTTGTTTGACTTTTCCTCTCGTGTATGTTAGAAAATTAAACGACGGCATTACATAATTAAAATCACATGACGATCCAAACAAATCGTTGTGGAACAATTCTCTTTTGACTTTCATCTGTTGAAAAATACGCGCGTGCAATTAATGCTTCATTACTTTAAGTAAGATTTAAAGTAGATCAAACTTGATTTAAATATGCTCTAATTTACATTATTTGCAAATCTGAAAACGAGATATATATCTCGATTAAGCTTTAAAAAAATATATGAAAAAAATGTTGATTTGTCAAGAGAAAATAACTATTTAGCCTCTGTTTCGACAGCATTATTCTAAGGAGGAGAATGAGAAATTGTACCATTGGAGCGTGCAATTCAAGGGAAGTGTGATGTGAAAGTAATAAAAAAAAAAAGGATAATTTTTCTTGTACATTAGGGGTGCCATAATGGTGTCCATAATGGACACATGGCACCCCACCATTGGAGACTGTGTTGGTGTAATGGTGTCCATAATGGACACATGTCACCCCACTATTCTTTGTCTCAATTCTCACATCAAAATCTTATGATATCAAGCTTGTCCTATTGGTCTTAGCTTCATTTATTTGTAGCTTTATAACATACTTAATTAGTCCCAATTAACATTTCTCTAATTACGATTAAGGAGTGACCTTGAAACTTACTTAATTTGAGGGTTAGGTACTCATAACAAGCAATATTTATTGTGTCTAACACAAGAGTGGAAAAGGTCTTCCAAATACACAAAACAATTATTTTGATTTAAAAATTAGAAAATAAAATGTTTTGAAATAGTCTGAGTCTGATATTCATTAATATTTCCCACCAAACAGTGCAGAATCTTAGAGGAACTATTTAATACCTTCCTTACAACGCGTTTGGGATACTTTAATTCACTGCTTTAACTCCCCCCAAGTAGTTTGGTGGGAGTGAGTGGAAAAGGTCACACACATGACCTATATGAATACGTAAATATGTATGTATGTATGTATGTATGCATGCATGCATGAATATAAACATGCACACCAAGTATTGGTGACGATTAAGCTCCTGTTTGATGTAGCTAAGAACTATATTTTCAGCAGATTTGATAAAAGTTGATGAAATGTAAATTTAAAAAGTTGATAAAAGTTGTGGATTAAGAGTAACTGTGGAGGTACATTTTTAACGAAAACGTAAAAGTTGTGGTGACGATCGTCGGCTATCATTGAAATTGGTCGTTGTGATAATGTATTGTTAGCGAAAAGTGGTTATGTTAAGTGGAATGATCAACTCTTACAATGTGAATGTTGATGTGATGAGGCCGGAAAAGGATTTCATGGGTTACTCTTAGAAGTAGAATGGCGTCTTTCATTTGGAGCTTGTAAATGTATTTATTGATCTATTACCATCTTAATGATCTTCCTTATGTTGTATAAAATAAAACAAAATAAAAACACTTTTAAATACTTTCATTTATTTTATTAAAATTCGTTTGATTCAGTCATACTTCTTTACTATTAATATATAATTATATTAAGATACAAGAACGGGACAACGTCTGGGAATTAAATTGATTAGGAAATTACTATTTTAAAGGTCTCGAATTTGACCATTTTTTTAATATAAAATATTATAAAGCGTGACGGAAATTTTTAAACGGGTGGCAATAAAAAACATTATAATTGACCATATAAAGTAAATTCGAAGTGGAAAATGAAATAGACTTCCCCTTTCTTTTTTGTTCATTGACGACACTGACGCGAATGATAATACTTAACAGAATATTAACGGATACTAATATCAATATATAATTCTATTTAATTCAAAAATTGTTGAAATCAATATTTCAATTAGTAGATGTGATCCGTCTTTAATAACTTAATCTTTTAAACGAGATAATGGACGTTACTAAATATTAGTCACGTATCAAATATCTGATAAAAAATAATTTCACTTACACATGAAACTAGGTGTTGTAACTACTTTTGAATTTAGTATTATATCAAATCAAAACGACATGTATTAAGTTACAAGAGTTTAATCATTCACGACCTTAAAAGGATATCCACAAGCTCCCAATTCTCCACTCATCGTTTACAACGAGAATGTTCTCCTGCCCGCGATGGGCAATCTTATCATGCCCACCTGATGATGTGGCAGGAGAACCCTACGTGGGGTTCTCTCCAAATGTGAGAACCCANGCCCGCGGCGGGCAGGTTTATCCTGCCCACCTGCTGAGGGGGCAGGATAACCCTACGTGGGGTTCTCTCCAAATGTGAGAACCCCACGTTGGGTTCTCTCCGAATGGGCAGCAGAGCAGGACTGTCGTTTACAATACCCAACGCGCTTATCTTTCAAATGAAATATGCTTGTCACACATTTTTCAACCAAGTTTTGATTAGGTTACTTAACTTTAAAACTAATGAGTTTTTATATAACATTGTGGAGGAATTTTATATTGCAGATTGTCTTGATGTTAACGTACTAAATGAAAACTTCAAAATCATAGTGACGTGTCAAAATTTAAGTGGGGAGACATTCTAGAGAACAAGAACATAGAGATCGAGACAACAAATTTGGACTCATCATGTACATAGGTCCAAAATCGTTTCTCTAACTTTGAAATAGGAAATATCGCACGGTTGAAACTGACATTTATTTTTTTTTTGCTAACAAGTTGGCTCCAACATTTCATCGTAATTGCATGATTAATTACAATATCAATGTCAAAGTATAAATCCCACATCGACTAATCATCGAAATATTGAATAATAAGAGATAAAATTACTCATCTTTCTTTTAAGATGAAACGCAAGTCATAATATGTTATCAGGGTCCATCAAGTTTAATCGAATATTTTGATCCAATTAAGATTTAAAAACAAGATCACAAAACTTAATATTGATTGGTTCAAATGAACTGTCATCTTGCGAGACATGTTTAAATCCCACGTAAACTAATTATCGAAATATAAATCAATATATTCTTCTTTGGAATATTAATATTTCGAGATGGAACTTCAAATTTTAATAATCAAAATTATTCAAATTCTTGAAATTCGTCACATGATTCTCGCACATATTCTTTATCAAAACGATCCACTCCATTGCCATCCTATGCATAAACAGAGATTTTTCTTACAAAGGGAAAAAACAAGCAAATTCAGCGTCGCGTTCTTCTTGTTCAACCATTCTTTTGCCAAGTCAAATCTCACTTTCCTCTATTTATACCCCTCCTCCCATTCCTTCTCTCGATATCCAAAAACCTCTTTCTTTATCAACAAGATCCAAAAAACCATAACTCTCCTCTCTCTTTCATTATTTGTTCTTCTTAAACACTATCAACACAACAACAAAGCAAAAGAAGATGAAGAGTTCAATATTTTCAAGACCTTCTTCTCCCTTAACTTCTCCCAGCTCTATTTCTCCTCCTTTGACACCTCGTCGTACATACTCCGAAACAACAATGGAGGAAAACATTGATTATGCCGCAGTTATTATCACTAAATGGGATTTGGATGGCCCAACATACAGAAAAATGTCCACTCTCTTTGGGGATGATAGAAAGGAGGCTAAAAGATTTATTGAAGGGGTGACTGGCTTGAGAAACGCCATGCACTACTACTTAAAGATAAATTCCAGTTCTGAAAAACTCATCAGAGCGCAAAGATTGATGCAAGTTGCAATGAAGAGATTGGAAAAGGAGTTTTATTATATTTTGTCTTCGAACAGAAATGTTCTTGACGCTGAGTCTGTCTCGAGAGGTTCGAACAGGTCCAGTCTTTCAGATTTCTTGGAAGATGAAGTTCGAGGTGATGAAATTATTGAAGATGGGAATTCTGCATCTGACGCTGATAAAGCTTCTTTAATGGCTATGGCGGATTTGAAGAGCATAGCGGATTGTATGATTGGATCTGGGTATGGAAAAGAATGCGTTAGAATTTACGATTTAAGCAGAAAATCGATAATTGATGAGAGTTTGTACAATTTGGGAGTTGAAAAGATAAACCCTTCTCAAATTCAGAAAATGGATTGGAATGCTCTTGAAGCGAAAATCAAAATCTGGTTACACGCTGTCAAAATTGCTGTGAAAAATCTGTTTTACGGGGAGAGAATTCTCTGTGATTCAGTCTTTTCTTCCTCCGAAAAAATCGCAGAATCGTGCTTTACAGAAATCTCGAGGGATGCAGCAATAAATTTATTTGGTTTCCCAGAAAATTTTGCGAAATCCAAGAAAGTATTATCGCCAGAGAAAATGTTCCGCGCACTTGATCTCTACGAAGCAATCTCAGATCTTTGGCAGGAAATTGAAATGATTTTCTCTTACGATTCGTTGTCTGCAGTGAAGTGTCAGGCGGTGTCTTCACTTCTGAAACTCGGTGAGGCAATACGAGTTATGCTCACCCAGTTAGAATTAGCCATTCAGAAGGACTCCTCCAAATCGCCTTCAACCGGCGGCGTTCACCCCTTAACTCGTTACGTGATGAATTATTTGGTCTTTCTCGGAGATTATAGCGGCTTGGTGTCGGACATAATGGCGGACTGGCCGTTGAACACTCAAACTCCACTACCGGAATCTTATTTCTCGAGCCCCATTCCCGGTAGCGTCGCCATGCAAGACCCTTCGTCCGCCATCACCGTCCGCCTAGCGTGGCTGATTTTAGTCCTGTTGTGCAAGCTCGACGGAAAGGCCACGTTGTACAATGACGTGGCACTATCTTATCTATTTTTGGCGAACAACTTAAATTACGTTGTTTCCAAGGTCCAAAACTCGAATTTGGCGTTCCTGTTGGGATCCGAATGGATTTCGAATCAAGAGTCAAAGGTCAAACAATATACCGGTAACTACGAAAGGATGGGTTGGATTAAAGTGCTGATGTCGCTTCCCGAAAATCCAACGGCTGAGTTTTCTCTACAGGAAGTGAAGGAAATTTTCTCTCTATTTAATTTGGGTTTCGATGGAACATACAAGAAACAAAGCCGGTGGGTCATACCTGACCGGAAGCTCAGAGAAGAAATCAAAATTTCTTTAGCTAAAAAAATAATTCCGAGCTATCGGGTCTTCTACGAGAAGCACCGGGGAAAAATTCGGAGGGACTTCGGGGTGGAGTCAATTGTCAGATATGCCCCTGAAGATTTAAATAATTATTTGTCGGACTTGTTTTTTGGGATTGAGGTTTCAGGGAGTACCAAAACTTGTTCGTCATATGAGACATCATCGGAATCGTCTCTGTCGTCCCGTGGCCGTTGAAGAAGTGACGTCAACCTTTGAATGGCCGGCAACGCATATATTCCACGTGAAAAATATTTGTGTGTATCTAATCTAACTAAATATAAAAGGGTGAGTTAGGGGTATTGTTCACAAGCCGTAAGCCGAGCCGAGTCAAATGGCTTACGGCTCGGCT